TCACCTTACACCTGTCAGAATGGCTATAATTACCAAGACAAAAACAACAAACGTTGGAGAGGATGTGGAGAAAATGGAACCCTCATACACTGCTGGTGGGAATACAAACTGGTTGAGCCACAAAGGAAAACAGTATAGACATTTCTCAAAAAATTAAAAACAGAAATACCATATGACCCAGCTATCGCACTATGGGGTATTTATCCAAAGAACTTGAAATCAACAATACAAAGAGACTCGTGCACCCCTATGTTCATTGCAGCATTATTCACTATAGCCAAGACATGGAAGCAACCCAAGTGCCTATGGACTGATGAATGGATAAATAAGATGTGGGGTGTGTGTGTGTTTATATATATATATATATACACATATATAATGGAATACTACTCAGCCATAAAAAAGACAAAGTCGTCCTATTCACAACAACATGGGTGGACATTGAGGGTATTATGTTAAATGAAATAAGCCAGAGAAAGACAAACACCATACAATTTCACTCATACATGGAAGATAAACACATAAGCAAAGAGAACAAATTAGTGATTACCCAAGGGGAAATGGTTTGGGGGGTGAGCACAAGGGATAAAGGGGCACATATCTATGATAAGTGACAGATAATAATGTACAACTGAAATTTCACAACGTTATAAACTATTATGACTTCAATAAAATAAAATTTAAAAAACTTTAGACTACTGGTGGTGAGCATGATACAATCTGTACAGAAACTGATAAATAATAATGCCCATCTGAAATTACACAATGTTATAAACCATTATGATCTCAATAAAATAATTGATTAAAAAATTACCAGCTATTTGCCATACCATGGCCTTGACACACATTCTTCTCTTTGTCTCAAAGTCTCCCAACCAGAAACTCAGATAACTCCTACTCTGCCTTCAAGTGTGAGCTATAATCACACTTCCTCAGGCATGCTTTTTCTGGCCATCCATCTAAGGCACATTTCACCTGTTTTTCTCTCCTGAAACACTTAGTTTTATGCCTTCATAGCCCTCATAATGTCTTGTTGTCACATATTTATTCACACTTATTCCTGTTCCTGAGTTTGAGTATGACAAAAAGACTAATTTTACAGTTCAGTTTCTTTTTCTTTTAGATGAGAGGCTGTTTACCCAAAAACAAAGACTCACATAGCAGGGATAAAACCATGAGGAAGTTTAATGTCCTCCCTGACTCTCTCAAGACCCAGTGGGGAAGAAAAGGAAGGATCCTTAGTCACACAGGGGAGTCGTAATTTCCATTTTCACAATGTCTGGTATCACCCTGGATGAGTGATCCACAACTGAGAGCTGCAGGGCTCTTTCTGGTCTCGCCAGAAGAGGAATGCAATTTCTATAGGCATATCCCAGTGACCAGGTGTGCCACGTATACTCCATACCTTCAGCTGTCCAGCTATCTGAGCCTCCTTCTTATAGTTCATTGGTGTAGTTGTGACTTTTATCAGGAGTAAGGTATCAACACAAGGAGTTCATATGACCAAGTGTTTAGGGAGTGAGTTGCCAACCCTAGCCATCCTACCACATCAAGGATAGCCAGACTCTCAGAGAACAGTCCCCCTAATTGAATTAACTCACTAAGCCATTTAAAACAGAGTTGAAAGCCAGTCATTCATTTGTCTTTCAAATACATCATCAGCTCCTAAAATCATGCCACTTACTGCAGTCAAGTTATATCAGCCAGTTTTATTCGGTTTAGGGAACAGTTTGGTGACCAAAGGAAGAAAGTGGGATTACAAAGTAGTAATTACCTTGAATGGGCCAAGAACTAAGATGGAGACTGTCCCAAGATCCTCTTACCAAGATTCTTCCTATGGAGAATAAGCTCCATGGGGACGGGGACCACGTCTGTTTCCTTCACCACTCACAGGCATCCACAGTGCAAACTGCAGTGCCTAGCACAGAATAGAGGCTCAATGAACATGTACGGAAAGAAGGGTTAATTAATTAAAGGTTCTTCACACTCCAATGCATCCTTCAGGTGCTTTATATAGCTCCATCGTGAACATCATCTTTATCCTTCAGTCTTGTCCAGGATCTACTATGAGCTCTCCTTCAGATCATTAGACACAACAGTAATTAATTACTTGTGTGATCGTTTAATGTTTATCTTCCCCATAAGACGGCCTGTGTATCTCTGGCATCTAGAGTAGCAATTCTCATATAATAAACAGTCAACAAGAATTTGTTGGATGTCTCAATAACTATGCTTTTTTGTTACAACTAAACTTAATTAGAAGTTTCTGAGCTTCCTCTGAGAAGTAAACTTTAAATCCCAAACTTGAAGAAAATAAGAGGTAAGGGACCTTCTGAGGTCCCTCTTACCACTGATGGTAATGAATCTCAGGGGAAGCACAGCTCCATCCAGCAAGAGAAGAGTGAGAATCTGTAGATTGGCTAAGTTCAAGCTGGGTACTCTCATAGATCTCTGAGTTCCCAGGAGACCAAACAGGAACCCAAGCAGTCCAGGCCTGAGGCCAGCTCCACAGAGGCAAGAAGTCTGCCATGAATAGTTTACCCCAGAATCCTCTATGGGCACCATGTCCCAGGAGGGGCATGTGCCATTAGCCAGAAGCTTCTTAAGCCCAACTGAAGATGCGTCATATGAATCTGCATCAATTGATGTCTGTCTCTGACTTAATATAGGAGGGATATAAGAATATTTAATTAGGATTCTACATCCATCTCCTCAGGAAAGTGGTCCAGCAGTGACACTGTGATGGAGAAGGAGCTATAGAAGCTGCCTGAGAAACTGGTGAATCCAGGAGTTCTGGGGAATAACCGGAGATAGCTCATTTCTAAGGAGATCTGGAGATGTGTCAGTGACAACAGTCAGGGAGCATTTCTTAAGAGAGACTGGTTGGTGGAAAACACGGAGGTTGAGTGACCCACGCAGAACAAATTGGACAGGACCTGACTATGTCCATGACCTGTAACCATGTTAAAGCTCTGAAGATTCCTTCTCTTTGAATCTCTGATGAGTCCCCGAGAATGTGGTCCTCAGGCAACGTGGCAAAGCCAAGAGCTTCTTGTGAAAATCAAGAGTCTCATCATCAGAACTGCCTTGAAGACAACCAAGCACCTCGCCTAGTAGCTTCTAAGGTGACCTGCACTGTAGCAATTTTTGGAATGGGGGAAGGAGACTGTAATTCCTCTGGAAACTCTGTCCAGAAGTGTGTCATCTGTTTTCACATGTCCACTGGCAGGCTATGACACAGCTGACTTCTTTGATTTTACTCATCTTTCTCAGTATCCTGACTCACGTCCATCTGATGAGTCACAGAATCTCTAAGGCTTTCAGGGACACCATTTGTTTACCCTAAGTCTCTCCTGAAATGTCTACACAACTCTTAATCGAAATGGGCTCACTGTGCTGGCTTCTTTTATGATTTCAAATTTAAGGTATTGTATAAGCAATAACAAAAATAATAAAAAGAGGAAAGAAAAATCACCTAGAATCTTCCTGTCCTTATATAGCAAATATGTTCATTTCTCTATGTTCTCATCTAGTCCTTATCCATATAAATGTATGTTTTACATAGCTATGATGTAGTGTGTTACTGTCTCTGTGGTGCAAACTTATCACATAAGTTCCTGCTCCTGCCTCAGATAGAGTCAGCTGTTGCCTACAGAGGCTTACCCTGACCTGTCATTTCTATAAAGAATAGGCAGTGACAAGATTGCCTAGTTCTTTATCCAGATCTCTAAGGACAATATTGAGCAATGTAAATCTACAAATAACAATCAGTTAAAACAAAGATATATTCCCTAAAAGTGAAATTGAACCAACGAACAATGCTGAATATCAGCATTTGTCATTATTATTCCTTATTCTTATTACTGAGGAAACTATCTCAAAGTATTAAGCAAGATGCCTAATCTACCAAGGAATGCTCTCTCCCCTTTATATACCAATTTCATAACACATGCTCCCATCCAAAAATATCAGCCTAATAATATATTCATAAAAATTTGCATTAACTCAACAAAAATTTCTTGTAGACATATGTGGGAAGGAATGATGTACAAAATACCTAATCTATGAGCGTGGCTATATAAACCAATGAATACTATTTAATAATTACAAAAATACAATAAAGATCAATCCAAATCCTGAAAGTTGTCTCTGTGGGGCTACAGGTGGTTCTTTTTATTCCATTTCTCTGTATTTCCTAAACTTTTCATAATGAGCTGAAATATTTTCAAAACTTTTTCTCTAAATAGATATTGCTCAAAATCCCAAGATCTTTTATTCAAATATGCTCTTATTATTTTCCTACTAGAGTTTCAACCACAAAGGGAGAAATTAAAATAGCTAACATTATGTGACTCCTTGCTCTGTGGACAGCCTTGTGCTAACTCTTCGGTATGCATTATTCATTGAAGTTCTACAAGAAGTTTTCACATAGTTACCGTTATTATTCCCACTGAGAAAGCAGAGTTTTCATGAAGTTAGATAACCAGCCCCAGATAAGCTACTAAATGATGGAGCTCAGGAGCAACCACAGTTTCTTTAATTTAAATGCCTCCTATAACAAGCTCTAGAGTAAATATTCTACCAATGCTTTCAATGAAGGTCTACGTCCATTGGATAGAGGATTTGTGGAGGGAAATATTTTAATGGACTTCAGAGACCCCTTACCACATTGGGACAAATATGGGAAAAGACGCCATCTGATGTAAAGGAAAAGAATAAAAGGGATTAATACAGAGTTTCCTATTAGAAACAACAGAAATGGAAAAAAATGGTAAAGGGAAAATTTCCTCCAAGAATCTCAGAAAGTTGACTTTAATTGGGTCAAAATACGTGACCTGATGCTACTCCTTAAGGGATCTGGACAACCAGCCTGAAGAGGGAGAAAAAGGGGCTAGTAGGACAAAGACAAAAAAGGACTCCTTCATCTCAAAATGCTACAACTGTCCCTCTTACATTTCAGTTCCAAATGTTCTCAGCTGCCCAGAACATCATGACTCCTGATGCTGCACACCTCTGATTGGCCATCCCCAGCAGAGGTCAGAAGCGCCATGGGGAACCACACCACACTCACCGAGTTTGTCTTGCTGGGGCTCTCAGATGCCTGTGAGCTGCAGATGCTCATCTTCCTGGCGCTCCTCCTGACCTACCTCCTCACTCTATTGGGGAATCTCCTCATCGTGATCATCACCCTCATGGACAGGCGCCTGCACACCCCCATGTACTACTTCCTCCGCAACTTTGCTGTCCTGGAGATCTGGTTCACCTCAGTCATCTTCCCCAAGATGCTGACCAATATCCTAACTGGACACAAGACCATCTCTTTAGCAGGTTGCTTTCTCCAGTTGTTCTTCTATTTCTTCCTGGGCACCACTGAGTTCCTCCTCCTGGCGGTGATGTCCTTTGACAGATATGTGGCCATATGCAACCCCTTGCGTTATGCCACCATCATGAACAAAAGGGTCTGTGTCCAGCTGGTTCTTTCTTCGTGGTTGGCAGGATTCCTTCTCATCATTGTTCCAAGTTTCATCCTATTTCAGCAGCCATTCTGTGGCCCCAATATCATTAATCACTTCTTCTGTGACAACTTTCCACTCCTGGAACTCATATGTGCAGACACAAGTCTGATAGAGCTTCTGAGTTTTATTGAGGCCATTTTCACCTTACTAGGCACTCTATCTGTGACAGCCACCTGCTATGGACATATCCTCCACACCATCCTGTGCATCCCCTCAGCCAAGGAGAGGCAGAAAGCCTTCTCCACCTGCTCCTCTCACATCACTGTTGTGTCTCTCTTCTATGGAAGCTGCATCTTCATGTATATCCGGTCGGACAAGGGTGACCAGGGGGAAGATAGAAACAAGGTGGTGGCTTTGCTCAACACCGTGGTGACCCCGATGCTCAACCCCTTCATTTACACCCTGAGGAACAAACAGGTGAAGCAAGTGTTTAGGGAGCAGGTGAACAAGCTCTTCTTATAAAGCTGTGGAACCAAGAGGCTGAAGCTAGGATTCCCAGGCAAGCTAAGGGAATATCAGGCCCCTGTAAGAAATCAAGACTTTCCCCTTCAGAAAAAGCTCTGATGACATGTTTCTAGGGTGCCAGTCACCTTGCAATGCATCATAAACATAGAAGCTGTTGGATCCTCAAGGCATTTTTCTTAATTATCAGATTTAAATATTTCTGTTCATTCTATCTGTGTCTGCCTGACTTACCAACAGAATACAACAAGCTCTTTGAGGTCAGAGACTAGCTCTATAATTCACCATTAGGCTCAAGCACCAAACCACTGTCATACACCATATAAAGACTCAGTAAGTGCTTGCAGAGTGATTGATTGCTTTGTGTCTGTTTCTCCAGAGGAGAGGAGAACTGTCCTCTGTTAGCATCATCTTCATTTCACACTTATACTCCTGTCACAGAGATATATCAGCAAGAACTCAAAAAATGACTAAGGCTCATTGCTTATTATTTTGCATGTAAACATTTTTAGTATTAAAGTTCATAGAAATTCCTCACTCCTATTGATGAAGGCTCTTCCACCGACCAGTTGGTTACTTCTCTGACCCCCAGTTTTCTCATCTGTTTTATGTGATTGACAATGTTCATTCCAAAAGATTATGTTGAAAATCAAATGAGATATTCTATGCAGAGTGCCTTAAAAAGTCACTGGTAAGGATGGACCCTCAGTGTAGTGGTTACATTCAGCATGCTCCTCTTTGGTGACCCAGGTTCACAGGCTCGGATACCAGGCACTGACCTACACCACTCATCAGCCATGCTGTGGCAGCAACCCACATACAAAATAGAGGGAGATTGGCATAGATGTTAGTTCAGGTCTAATCTTCCTCAGCAAAAAAGGAAAAAAGTCACTTAATGAATGTTGGTTCCTTTCCTCCATTTCTCACCCCACCTTCTCTCTTTTCCTTTTGAATTTCACATTAGTTATCAACAAAAGCATTTTTATTCAAAATACTATAAATGTTATATTCAAAATGTTATATTAAATCTTAAATAAAGTTAAATATAATATTTGACCTATTGAAATTTGTTACTAAGATGTTCACTATTTTGTTGAAGACAAAAATAAAGCAAAGTTGTTATGCAAATATTAAATAATGAAATTAACATATTAAATCATTCCAAGATAATGATTAAGCAAGTGCCATGTTCAAGGAAATGTACTGTGTGGTCTGGGAGAAAATGCTTAATGTATGCCTTTGAAGAATTTGAAATCTAACAAGGAATTTAGAAAGTACACAAATAACTATAATTCAGGGTAGAAAATGATTTGTGTAAGAAAATATCATGTGTAACTCTTTAGTGACAAATTTGAAAAAAACAAGAGGAAATGGATGATTTTTGAGAAAAAAGAATTTTCAAAATCTTAAAAGAAATACAAAACTTAATTAGACAAATTACCATAGAAAGATATCAAAATGAGACTATATATCTACTATAAACTCAAAAATTGTGTCCTTAACAACACAAACAAAATCCAACGCTACAAGTCACCGATAAACACATGAAAACTTGTACAAGATTACTAATCATTAGGGAAATGGAAATCAAAATCACAATGAAATACTGCTTCCTACCCATTAAGATGGGTATTATTCAAAAGATTTTTTTAATAGAAAATAATAAGTGTTGGCAATAATGTGGAGAAATTAGAACCCTTATGCAGAACCCTTGGAATGCAAAATGATTCAGCCACTGTAGGAAACAATATGGTGGTTCCTGAAAACATAAACATAGATTTACCATATAATCCAGCAATTCCACTTCCAGTACACACCCAAAAGAATTGAAAGCAGAGACTGGAACAGATATTGGTACATCCATGTTCATAGCAGCATTATTCAGAATAGTTAAAAAGATGAGAACAATCACATGCCCATTGATGAATGGATGGATAAGCAAACTGTGGTATATACATACACAGGTATATTCTTAAGCCTTAAAAAAAAAGAAATTCTGTTAAATGCTATAATATGGATGAACCTTGAAGACATTATGCTAAGTGAAATGTCAGACACAAAAGGATAAACATTGTACTATTCCACTTATATGAAGTACCTAGAGTAGTCAAAATCATGGAGACAGAAAATAGAATGATGGTTACCAGGGGCTAGAGGTGGGGTGTGAACGGAGATTTAGTGTTTAATGGATACAGAGTTTCAGTTTTGGATGATGAAAAAGTTCTGGAGATGGATAATGGTGATGAATGCACAACAATGTGAATGTACTTAGGACCAATCAACTGTACACTTTAAAATGATTGAATGGTAAATTTTATGTTGTATGTATTTTACCACAATAAAAACAATACAGATTCCAGATCAAAAACGAAACTGTCATCTTTGACTCTCCCTCTTTCTGTTATACCCTATAGCCAATCCATCAGCAACAATTGTGGATTATACACCCTACTATTCTTACCACTAATACACTCCCATCTTTGTCCACACCACCTGTCATTTCCTCTAGGTTCTTCATCCCCTACTCAACACCCCACCCCATCTCCGTATCCCTGCAGGGTTAGAAAACACAGGTGAAAGGAAAGTGGTCTTGCAGAGTTAAGACAGAGGAAACCAATGACACACACTTTCTCTCTGAAGATTTCCTGCCTGAAGTAGGCCTTAGGAGGAAGGAGCACATTTTAAATTTAAATGAAGTTCAGAATTTTAACAGTTCCATAGGATTGGACAAGTGAATAACTCTGTTCCTTTACTGATATGAATGGAGGACTTCCAAAATTTTATAAGTGGCCAGAAAAACCACCAAACCTATCCTAGATTCCATCCAAGGACCATGGAAGAAATAGCTACATGAACAGATTGAATGGGCATGCAGGAAAGCGCTAGAGTGAAGAGTGCTTAATACAAATAAACAATTATTATCCATAATATACAAAGAGAAACAACCTGATAGATAAATGAGCAAAGGATATGGATAGATACTTCACAGAAAAGCAAATCCAAAGGACCGATAAATAGGTGAAAAGACGTCCAACTATATTAATAGCCAGGACAATTCAAATTAAAATAACTCTCTTGATGATTGATGAAGCATTTTTAATTTTTTAAGGTAATAGTGGTATCATATTTACATTTTAAAGAGTATTATTGTTTTAATACTTATTAAAATATTTACAGATGAAATGATTATGATGACTGGGATTTGCTTCCCAAGAATATGGAAAAGGAGAAAGTAGCTGGTAGTCTAGGGGAAACATGAATGACCATGACTGGGTTATTGCTGAAACTAGCTGATGACTGCATGGAGAAGCATTGCACAATTTGTCTAATTTGTATATGTTTTAAATTTCCAAAATAAAAACTGAAAATAAAAAGATAGTGGAAATATTTCCAACAAAGGTAATGTCTGTATGACCTTGTTTGGTACTATGGCAAGGCAACAAAAAAAATTTGTAAGAGATGTTGCACAGGCAGAACCTTGATAGGGCTTGGGTCCTGAAGAGATAAAATGACTGGAGGAAAAAAACAACTAAAGGAGATCCATAAGTATTGAGTCTAGGTAATCAGAAAGATGTTATCACAAAAACAGAGCAGGAAGGAGGAAAAGTTGGCTTGGGATCTGACAGGATCAGTTCTGTTTCAGACATCTATATCATAGGACAACCAACTCGGGACATGCATGTTGATTGGGACAAGGAATTCTTTTTTTTTTCTAAAGATTGGCACCTGGGCTAACAACTGTTGCCAATCTTTTTTTTTTTTTCTGCTTTACCTCCCCAAACCCCCCCTGTACACAGTTGTATATCTTAGTTGCACATCATTCTAGTTGTGGGATGTGGGACGCCGCCTCAACGTGGCCTGACAAGTGGTGCCATGTTCGCGCCCAGGATCCTAACCCTGGGCCGCCGCAGCGGAGCACACGAACTTAACCACTCGGCCACGAAGCCTGGCCCCAAGGAACTCTTTACAACAGTTTCCAATGGCATTGGAACTGTCCAGTTGTCCATCTCTGGTTCTCATTGTTTAATTTATAGCAAAGAAAATGTCCAAAGAGAGGATTTTCATAAAGCTCAGAAGAAAATTGTGGTGTAAGCTTATCACTAACGACTTGGAAAAGAAAGTCTCCATATTCAAATCCAGCAAGTAGCAAATACTGTTCTCTTTAAGTTTATATGAGAATAATTAATGAGGTAAACTGAGATCAAGATTTAGAGTATAACTAAGTCCAAAGAGCCTTTCATCAGCAGAGAACTCAAAAGTTATAGGAAATATGATATCGGTAATCAGTATATCATGCGTTGAGGCTAGAATCCTGAAGAGAACTATATTAGTTATCAACTGTTGTCTAATACATTGCCCTAAACTTAGCACCTTTAAACAAGAAGCATTCATCAGCTCACAGTTTCTGAGCTAGTAATCTCAACATGGCTTGACTGGGTATTCAGACTCAGGATCTCTCATAAGGCAGTAACCTAGGTGTAGGTTGGGGCTACAGTCACCTCAAGGCTTGACTGGGAGAAGATCTGCTGCCAAGCTCACTCATGTGGTTGTGGATAGGCCTCAATCTTACCAGTTGTTAGCTAGAGACATCAGTTCCTTGCCATGTGGGTTTTTCCATAGGGCAGCTCACAGCATGGCAGCTGGTTTCCCTTAGGATAAGCAAGAGAGTAAGAGAGGACATGCCAGCTAGAGAACACGGGCTATTGGTAGCATTCTTGGCAGTGACTTCTCATCCTTTTTACTGTATTCTATTCATTAAAAATTAGTCACTAGGTCTAGCCACATACAAGGGAAGGGGACTATATAGGGACATGAATGCCAGGAGGTAGGGATCATTAGGGCCATCTTAGAGGCTGTCTTTCAAAAGAACTATGTAACATCAATCTGTGACACCTAGTACATACGCTATCTGGTGTCCCATTAAATATTACAAAAGTCCTCTAGCAACACAGAAACTTCATTACATCTGTCTTCTATTCTTATGGCTAGAAGCAAACACC